GAGAGAGAGAGAGAGTTTTGCAGAAATTCCTAAATACGCTTAATTTAATTTGTGAGTGAGAATTTGAAAATTTGATCCTCAATTTTGATTGGTTAAAATTTGTAGGAATGGGTATGACACTTACCATTAAGGATCTGCATGCTGCCCTTGCTATGCCCAAAGAATTGCTGGCTGGATTTGTTCTTCAATACACTGTCAGTCCTTCAATCCCTTTCTGAGTCCCTCTTATCTCTTTTTGTTTTTCTCATTTGGGGTGGAGAATTTCTAGAAATAACTCAATTTCTAGCTTGATTATCTCAGCAAGATAACTCAAAATAACTTGAATATTCCCCACTAAAATAACCCATTTGATTATGAGTTTTGGACAGCCTGGATTTACGGGTTTTCTTAAATTAATGTGTTTGCAGGCCATGGTTTTAGAATATGTTGATGATGTATGTTGAAAGCATTATACCACATTAAGGAACGAGAGAATAAAAGGAAAACGAAAATGGATTCGAACATGGATAAAGAAGAAAATGAAATAGAAGCGGAGTAAATGTGTTTGAGACATTGTTGAAAGAATAAACTTGTTTCCCACAATACCTGATAATAATCTTTGACTTGGGAGCCTGAGAGGTACTTGTTATTAGTTTTTGAAGCTGAGGCAATGAAGCAATCTATTTGCATCATGTTTGCCCTCAGCACAGAGATATTCAGTTGTTTTGTTGACAAGCAACCAGCTTGGGTTCATTTGAGCGCTTTAAGCTGGAACCTAATGGTGTCCCTGGGTGTTAGGGTCTCTCTCATTAAGGCACTCTAGCAATATTGGTGTCTCCCAGGAAAGGGTGGTAAAAGCGTTAAAGTTAATTCAGATTTCAATAGGGTGGTCTGATTCAACATAGGGGTCGTAGGTGAAGCAGGAACTCTATTGAGTTGACTTGGAGTTTGTTTCAACTCCTTGATGGTTGAGACACGCACAATGTGTGCATTATTTGTAAAACAGGTACAACTGATGCATACATAACATGATGTCCATGTAGTTCCTTAATCACTCATGGAAGTTAAAGTCTGTGCATAAAACCTGTACATTATTTCCTTGGTAACTAAGAGATAATTATGTATTATGCATGAATATGATTTCACATGTCTTATTTTCCAATTTGTGCTCTGAAAGTTCCCTCAATTTGCAATTTCAACCAGTGATTTCTTCCAACATCATCCAGGTGGGTCCACAAAGAGAAAATATGTTGCAAAAGTGGTGTATTTTGCTATGGAATAATTGGGGTGCTTTGTTGCAGATAATGCCATTATCCGGAGCTTTTGTGAGCAAGCTTCTTAGGTTGCCCACCCACTATGCAGCTGGCTTGATCTTGGTTGCATGCTGTCCGGGAGGTATAATACCACAGAGGGCTTTCTATCTTCACTGGCCTTTTGTAATTCCAACTTTTCTAATTCATCTTTTGCTTTTCATTCACAGGAACAGCTAGTAATATAGTGACTTACCTGGCCAGGTGTGTATGCACCCACTAGCTTTGTCTTCTGTTTTTTCTTGTCCATTTTTTTAGGGTAATTAAAGCTTTGATCTGTTTGACGGCCACATGGCCAACTCATCAGCTGTTGGCTCGTTGAGAGCGATCCTCTAGGGCTCAAGGAGCCCCGTGGGGCCCCAAGCCAGTATTCACACTCTGGCCATGTGGCATTATGTCATCTTCCAGATTGTTGTGTGTCTCCATTGTGTCAATGGAAACGGATGTACAACCTATAGAACAGATCATATGTTTTTTCTAGGCCATGACCTGGTTTCTTTGCTCTTATACGTAATAATTGTGGCTATAACTTTGTTTTGCAGGGCAAATGTGGCACTTTCTGTCCTGATGACAGCGGCAAGCACCATTTCCGCAGTGGTATGGAGAAACTAACACCGCAGTTTCAGATGTTTAGTTGAATTTGCCTAAATAGTGGTTTCGGCTTTAGTATTCTAGTCAAGAATTGCAAAAAAAAATTCTTCAAACAAGTTGGAAGTAATCCTTGTCAAAAATGTTTGATAGGAGTCAAATGGTTATTTTGTGGCACCAGAAACAAAGTGGTCCATGCAGTAATTAGTCTAACTGTCATATTTGAATCTATCAAATAGAATGATCAGTTTTCTTCTTTCTTGGAATCCAATTTATTTTTCACTATACCTGAAATTACAACACTTTTTGCCTTTCCTTCTTTGAGGCTGTTTATTGCAGGTGATGACGCCATTTCTCACAGCAAAACTTGCTGGACAACTTGTTGCAGTGGACGCAGCTGGACTCTTCATTTCTACAGTGCAGGTGGATGAGAGCACTCAGACCTTGCTTTTGTAATTGTGATTTTTTAAACCTATTTCTTTTTAACCACCATTAATGATAAAATAAAAAGAACATAGAGTCCCAACAGACCAGATTTGAGTAGACGACCACCGTCGTGGGTTAGCATGTTGGTATTTGAGGGTGTGTCCTCAGTTGGGAGCACTTAAAGAAAACTAAAAAATTCAAATATTAAAAATTACCAAAATACTCCCATAAGTGTTGCATGGGTGTTTTAGTTATTCGTTATTATTATTGTTTTGAAAACAAATGGTATGTCTAAGTGAGCTGCACACACCCTCAAGGTTTCAGGTCAATCTGAATTTGTAAAAAAGTTAATTTTCAAATAATAGCACACAATTGCGGCGATCCAATTGGATCTAGACGATTGGAACCTAGGAGTTCGCTCATACGCATTCCTAAGGCTTTTCCTATATATATAAAGTCATTGTTAAGGGTAGGACACTTGGCATTCAACTGCAAGAGAACCCCATGGAGAGAAAGTTTAGAATAGCGTTCCTGTTGAGGGAGACCCTAGACAGAGGGAGCAGCATAGTGTGCTTATATTGAGCAAAAAATGCCAGATGTTAAAAATGCCAAAATTGTAGGCATACATATTTTCTACTTACTCTATCATTATATTATTTCCAAGAAAATTTCTAACTAAATCTCTTAATTTTGTCTAGATTCCCATTCCAATTCATCTCTCTCTCTCTC